CCGAAACACTTAGACTTGGAGCATGCTCGAGTCTCACTAAACTCGGCTGCTTCAAACTTGTTACGGTGGAATAGGAATTTGTGGATTGAAGTAGTCCGCTTTAACACGCAGTTATTGGAAATGTCTTACCGCGCCGATTTTTATTGCGCAGTGAATTCGTAGGTGTACTTCGGCTGTCGAATTTTGAAGAGAAGAAAACAAAATCGATGCTTAAATCAGATTAAATCGATGCTTGTATACACGGAAAAAAGGAGCAAAAAAGTAGCAAAATCTTTTGTTAAAATTTTGCTGAATCTTTTGCTACTTAGTAATAATTGCAGAAAGATTTTGCTACTATATTGCTAAATTATAGCTCTTGCTGCAAAAAAATGTTAGTTATCCCATATTTTACTACTATATTTGCTAGTAGCTAATCCTTTTTTTTCCATCAATTATATGCTTAATGAAAATCCATAATAAAGGCAAAGGTCCTGATACTATAAATAAGTGACACAGTTGCTCTTTATATAAAAACAAACTCGCGGAAAGATTAATTCCAGTCTGTCAGTTAAAAATATATTTAGAACCTGTAAATGCACCAGATTAAATTATGACGGGCTTTATTGATATCGCCCAATATTTCCTAACAATAAGCGTAAAGCTGATAAATGGCGCTTTAAATAATATCGAGTGTTGGGTGAAACAATGAAAATTCGCAAATGAATGTTTTATGGGTTATACGCAAATTTAATGTCATATCACGCCCAGCCTCACTAAATAATATAGCTAACAACATGAAACGCTATTGATCGAACGTAAATAATACGCATACAAATATGCCGAACATTCGTGTACGTGAATAACTTGGAACAGTTTTACACATGGAAATCTGTATAAATATATATACAACGAAGGGGTTATACTTTTCCTCACTCGCGTCGCTTGTAAAGCTAACACATTGATAATGCAAGCACGTTAATTAACTTTCGTATTATAACCCATATATATTTTTCGTCGTCAATATAATGTTATACAAGTACAAAAATAAAATGTTCGATATATTTATAAATTCCATTCATACACAATATCGCACGATACATAAAACGCAATTATTATTATATTATTATATTATTTTGGAAAAATAATAATGTTCAATTTGCTCAAAATTGTGTGTTTGCTTTATTCCAAATTTGATAGAGAGCAAAGGTAAAACACTCGACAGAAATGTACCTGTAAGGGAAATAAAAACGCACCTACGCCGATCGTACTTAGCCGATGCTGGAAGCATCGATCAGACCGATTCGCAATCCGATGGCTCGTAAAGTGTATAGAGTTCATATATTTCGTTGTCTTGGCAAGGAGGGAGGGGAAGAGGGAGAAAGAGAAAGAGGGAGTGAAAGAGGGAAAGAGAGGTGCCAAGGCAAAGGGAGAGCGCTTTTCGTGTTACGACATCCAGCTGCAGTTTGAGAAAAATGACCCGTCTCGTAGTTTCTCCCTCTCGTAACGAAAAATCCCGTTCCCGGCGATATATCAGATCGCGTCGCGTCTAAAACCGATGGTGCAACTTTTGTCCAATAACGCGATACGTAAACGTCCGTATATACACGGCCAGCGAAACCTATCCCGAGCAGATAGATATATTTGTGCGAATACTGGGGGAAAACCCCAGTTCGGCTCTCTATCCTTTCGGCTCCGATCTCTACGTTAGAACAGTCGGTAGACATTATTCTTTCGCGAATTGCCGATGCGTTTCAAAAGTGGCTCTTTGTCGTAACCAGAAGCGCCGGTGAGCACTCACGAGACTCCGGGTGCAAAACATCGTATAAAATCGAGATAGGAAAGCAAAAGCAGTTCGTGCGGCTTTCGGCTCGTTCGGCCAATTCTGCATCGTCGAAACGAAAAAGCCTCGTGCATATGCGCGTATATTTTTTGTCCAGGTACATCGAGTTCCAAAGAGATTTTTTAGTATCTCAAATGGTATCGAAGAAAAAAGAATAAATAGGGACTTTTAACGTTACACGTCGCGTCGATATAATGTTGGAATAAAAATTGCACGTATCAGAATTTTATCGTTTCCTTTTCTATTTGTATTTCGCGCTATACTCCGTCCGACAGAATCGTATCTTTCTCGCGCGATTAGATTAACTACCTACCGTCCGTAAAAATTTTTGAATCCCCTATACGCGAACTTTTTCATCACTGGATTAAAAATAACGTAAGAAACAAAGATAATACTGTGAATGTGACTAATACTTGTGACAAAAACTTATATAACATACGCGACGTTTACGTGTGCGAACGTCGCTGTGTTGAATGGAAGGGTGACCCTGCGGGATCAGTATAACATGCGCGGAAAAACCTATATAATATAGCGCACACATCAAGCGCGGTTTTTTTTTCTCTTTCTTTTTCCTATTGGAGAGTATAACGTTTGGAAGGGAAAATGATATAGGTTAAAAGTACGTGAGCGAAATATTTTACGCGCGTCCCCATAGCCAGTCGGAAATACGGAGTATCGTCGCAAGTTCCTATTCTTGAACGAAAACCGACAGACTCCGGCAAAGGAAAAAGATCGAGCTGGGGAGCTATATCGCGCTTTTAAGAAAAATCCCCCCCGATAGATATATGGCCAGTATCAGAAGCCACACGCGTGTTACACGAGAAGATATATATAGAATTGCGTTTGATGTCCGTTGGATAACACAACTATAGGTAATTGTAAGAAGACAGCGCGCGAAATTGTATTGGAAAGCGATACAAATTGCAGATTGATATATCGAGCTATGTAATTAGATTGATCTCGTCTTTCTTCTCGAACCAAAAATTTGTTCAGCGATTATCAACTTCTCCAATTGTTCCTTGAAATATAACACAGCTGAAAATTGATTATACGCAACGTCAGAAAGATAACAAGTACGCAAACAAATATTTATCATTAAAGACAGAATAAAGGATATACCTACTTGCATTCTCGGGGAACGGGGCGGATGTGACGAAAGAATAAAATGCGTGCCATATTTTTACGATTTTTCGTAATGTGCGAGGCATATGGCACTGTGGCGGCTGTCGCTCCTTTACAGCACTTGCTTCTACTTCTACCCTTCGACGTTTTCGGTATTCAGGCCACGCGCGCCAAAATCACCAGGTGATAAAAACTCGAATGAGAGACGAGTGCAACGACTCTCGAGACGTTGCGATACTTACAAATCTTTTCCGTTGTTGTAAAGAAAAGAGAAAAACACAAAAGATTTGCATTTAAAGAGAAAAAGGGTAAGAAAGAATTTTTGCGTGTTATTTTATCAACAAACAAAAATCTATAACGAAAAATAAATACAAATTACTGTAAGTACTAAAAAGCTCAGACGATTTAACTGAATAGATAAGAGACTCAGAGCCGCAACAAAGGGTTCGTGTGTCGAAGTGTTATATTAAAAAATTATTACAAACATCTCAAGTTTGTTATCAAACTTTTTATCTTTAGTGTAACATAAAAGATTTAGGCAATATAAGCAAAGTTCGCACTGAGAAATCATCGCAAGATCGTAAAACATAACAAGCGCATAGCGTGTTTTTTCAGCGTAGAAAAATCGAAAAGTACAAAGTAAAAAATGTAAGAAAAATACTTAGAAAATTCATTATGATAAGCGTGATACGTCACGTTATATGGGACTGTTATTAGTAATGTTATTAAAACTAGTTATTAAACTAATTATTAGTAACGTTATTAAAACTAGCAAGACAAATTTGATTTTACAAATTACAGTAAAACATTCATTACATCAAGGAAGGAAATATTTTTGCAAACACAAACAGTTAAATCTAATTAAAAAGAAACTTTATTCCGTATTACATTTCAACAACTTTCTTTATTTGTATCGATAAGTTCTTCTTCCGCGACGACACGCGGGTGACTTTTTCTCGATACCGCCCCGTCGGTACGGTTTTTCATTAAGAAATAACACGAGTCAGCAATATTTCCGAAGTACGGTACAATAATTCGCTTGCTCATGCACTGTTTATACCACTCATATTCCTCCTTCATCGAGCCTCTCTGTCGAAGTAACTCCGCAAGACGGCTCGACTGCCGAGGAGCTTTCGTGCTCACTTTAATGAGCTTACCACGAAGGCTTCTGACGTACGTCTCGACGTCGATGCTTCCCTTAACGCCTACAGCGAGTTCTCGTAGGCCGTCCTCCGAACTCCTGTAATCATTTTCAACTTCGCAGGGTCGACTGCTCCCAGTCGCGTAAAATAGCCGACATTTGTCACTATCATGTAACACCTGGGTGGAAGGAAAAGTCCAGGGAAGAAATGTAATCGGAGGAAACGAGTAATCTTGCGTAATATCCTCATCGGACAAAGATCAATTGTCGGAGAGTTGCGAAAGAAGTAGAATTTGTTTAAACTCTAAACTTTTTTTTAATATTTATTATATATATAACATAAACATACGTGAGAGAGCACACAGCTTTAACGAACTCGCGTTATTAAATTTCTTTACTTACGGACATCCAATAGCGTCCCATAGCTCTCTGCATATCGATCAGGACGCTTCTGTCTGCTCCTTTAATGCCGAAGAAAACGCGCACTCGCAATAACTTGGGCAGCGACTGCTCATTTCGCTTTGCTAAAACTTCGTTCCGAGTTCTTTCAGAAACTACTTTTTTGCCAAAGGGGAACAGCCAGTTGTACGGAAACGAATAAGTGCTTCGCGGTAATTCAATTCTATCGTAATCCGTCCGTTTGTCAGACGTAGCCTGCGCACGGTTTTGTTGTTAAGATATTTACCAGCTCTTATTATCTTGAAGTCGATTTTAATATTATTGAAGTCACTTTTACGACTTATCACGAAAAAATCAGGAATATTCTAATAAACGTTAATATTATATATATGTAGGTATATAATGTAATTGTTCTTATATTATTATTTTTTTTTTATAAAATTGCATCGAATAGTTGCAAGAAATCCAACTGATGCAATAATAATTTATTAATAATTATGAAAGAACGTAATGTTAGCATTATCTAACCCGGTATTGACAGAATATTTCCTTTGATCCCAATTCCGGTTTCACAGGCACAAATGTAATCAAGCGATGAAGTTCCGGTCGACGTGAAATTGGATATTGGATCATACTCATCTCGTCGCCAAAGACGGCCGCCGCCACCTCTTGCTCGCGTCTAACCGATCGATGAAGGTACTCACAAGCTGTCAGATCGCGATTCATCGCGAAAATTCTGTATTGACTTCTTGCAGGAAACTTGAGCGTTTCGCAATATCGTTCGTGTTTGCAATGGATCCTTGCCCCTGAGCTGGCGTCTTCTTCATCGTTGCTTCTTCTTTCTTCGCCGCGTTCGAGAATGTCGTCGTTGCACTCGCGTCCCCTTCGCACATATCGGCGATCGTCGCCTCGATAATAACGCGTGGTACCGTCACTTTTAACCTCAAGCACATTCCCAAGAATATCGTCAGTCGTGAGGATCGTTCGTAAACCGATTTCGGAGGATTCCCGAAACTTATAAGTCGACGTCGTGCTTCCGCCGCAAGTAGCGCATGTCTTCCAGAATATTACGTCGTCGTCGGAAATCTAACGACGTCGTGAGATTTTTTTAAACAAAGGTGATTATTAATGTTGAAACACTTGTAAGGAGAATATAGCGAGAGAACTGCAAGTTTGTAACGTACAAGTTTACATCTGACGACAGTAGCATATACAAAGACTTCAGTGTTGCGTATCGATATACTAACATTTACGTTACGTCAAGTACGCGTACCGGTACGCGCGACTTTGATTACCTTCAGATTAACTTCGTCCCCTATTGAAACTTCGTAATGACCTCTTCTCGATATGCTGACGCGGAAATTGCCGGGCATCGATAAAGTACAGCTAACTGCTGACTGATCGTAGGACACAGTAGCGTGGTCTTTGTGCTCCGTGCGGAAAGTCAACAAGATCGAGACAAAACCGTTCGCGATCGATAGTCCCCTCGGCATCTCTCGGCGTCCGACGACGTACGGCGCGGAATCTACGCGCGAGAACTCACTGTCGGAGGATATTGCCGAGGTAGCTCGATCACCATACTCTTTCGTTTCCGTGACTCCAAAATATCGCCACAATTCGTTTTCCGTCCATTCGCAAATTACCGGTTGTTCCTCTATCATATAACCGGTAATGATGCGCGTGCCATCTGAAGGGGAAATATCGACGGCAAAAACGGAGTTTGACGGTAAAGCATACCAAATATATTTCTTAGCACGTTAAACGTATAGTATACCGGGAAAGGTAACGACCAATTCTCCATTTGAACGAAGTAACGTATCAGTACCATCGGCACGACGTGTGAATACCTCGTTGACCTCGTAATCCGACGTTGTCCTAACGAGCAATCGATCGTGTTCACTTACGACCAGATCGTTCAGCACCTCGTAGCATCGACCGTCGTAATTCACCACCGAGTATCGTAACACTTCACCCGCGGCGAACGCTCCTGTTATCAATGAATCGTGCTCGTTGCTCGTCTAAGACAAAAGCGTTTAGAAATGACATACACTATTGTTTCTCGCAGCAAGCTTCATATAATTCCATCTCGATTTATATGGCAAATTTTTCAAAAGTTTCTGGCTTAAGGCCATATAAAAGAAGAGATAGAAAAAGGTAATAAAATACCTTTATGTTTCAATTATAATCCGCTTTTATCTCAATACATTTTTTACAACGATTATACATATATACGAATTAATTTTTCTGTACCACTAAAAGAATATTCTAAATTTTTGTTTTAAAAATGGTTTAACACTGCAGAAATTAGTTTTTTATCACCCACCTTAATCACTTGAATAATTTGATAATTGAATTTTGAAGAAAGATTTTCTCGTACAACTGCATTGTCTTTCTCCAAATTTACACCGTTTTTTTATCACCCACTTTATTTAATCCCTAGTGATTAAACTAGCGATAAAAAAAACCAGTGTTTTGGAGAAAGAATGCATGCAGCTGTACGATAAAATTAAATCTTTCTTCAAAATTCAATTATCAAGTCATTCAAGTTTGTTTTCGTGTCCCAATTGGAACGAGACTTAACAGTCACGAGTTCTCTCGCTAGCGGTACACGCTGTTTCGATGGTTGTACGTCGACGATCGATCCGTTGGAACGCGTCTCCGTGGAATCTATGATTTTACCGCTACGCTCGGCTGCGACCGATTGCCTCGAGTTGCCCTTTTCGATCCTAAATTCTGCAGAAGAATCCTCAATTTAACTGAAAAATTCTGGTTTACTCCGCAGTTGACCCGCGTTCACCGTTATATACTTTTTGGGGCCGTCTCGCGGATGGATTCATCGCGCGATTGCGGCTTGTCGAAGTTCATGCACGTCACGATGACGCCATTGGGGCGAAAGATGACGACGGTATTGTCGTCCAGATACTTTAGGACGGTTCCGTTTCTGAGAAAGTTCCGGCAAATTTCACGGGCTGCACCTGCGCACCCGGGACGTCTCGAAACGTATGATTGCCGAATGCAAAATGGATTTTTGGCGCCGTCCCCGATGGTTGATTCTATCAATAATCCCGAAGGCCGTGAAGCACGAAAGTCGAAAGTCAAATTTTGCCAATGGGAATCGGATGAGTTTTCAACTGCGGAACACGGAGGAGGAAAGAAATCACTCAGCTAATAAAGACATCTCTTTTCTACTGTCTGCTCTTGCACGAGAGAATCGTTATTTATTTTCCGACTATACCACTATTTGATAAACGTTTAATGATTCCTAGAGTCAAGTAATTAATTACCTAGCTTCCTCCTATTTCGGTGGAAACCTAATACAATTCCCCTTTTCGTAGTTAAGTGAAACGTGTCTGCCGACTGACGGCGACTAACTCCGTCAGACAATCGTAAAGTGCAGTGTGGCAGGGTAACAGCGATGCGTAAATCGCGATCCCCGTGAAGCCAGTCTTCGAGCTCGACCCGCACCGATGTATCGTCGTCCAAAAGAAACTTTTTGCTATGATGAATCACTTGAACACGAAGACCTCCGAGATCGTATCCGACGAAGTCGTACGGCCCGTTCGTCTCGACACATTGGGACGATAGAATTTTTTTCACCGGTAAGAAGGACGTATCGACATCATCTATCTTTGTGTCCGATTTTTTCTCCGTCATTGACGTTTTTCCACTCATAACTCTTCCATCCGCCCGTTTACTTCCGTTGTTCGCCATCGGCGCCTCGTTTCGTTTCTGTCTTGTCATTTTCTTTCCCTCGACGTTCCTCACCGTCGTCGTCGCCTCCTCGAATTCCTTCGTTTCAAAAATTTTCTTTCGCCCGTCGCGACTCGGGGTTTTCTTCAGATGACGCGCTTTCAGAGAATCCGGAAGCATGAAGCACTCGTCATCGAATGTGATCGCGTCGCCTTCCACCTCGGTGGATTTCTTCATAAATCTTCCTGTCAGGTCCATCCTACGCGATTGGCGCGTCTCCTGCTCTCGTTTCATCCAACTCTCTTCCTCCTCCTTCGCGATATATTTGCAGAATTCATGGAGCCCGACGGGCGTGCGTATACTTGATAAGCACCTCTCCTCGGACGCGCTAGCCACCGCGTTGTTGTCGCTGAAGTAAAGCAGCATCGAATCCGTCGGCTCAAAGTATCTAGCTGCGAAGCGATCGAAACTTTGGAAACATTCGTGGGCGACCTGAGGAAAAACTCGGCTCGAGAGTAACTCGACGTCTTCGTATTCTTCGAGACTCGGTCTTTCGTAACTTCTCTTCTCGAAGACATTCTTGCGCAGATATCCCGGAAGCAATGTCTCTCTAGCGTCTGTTAACGCGAACAAAAGCGGGCATTCGGCGAACGCGACTACCGACTTACAATAATCAATCTCGGTGTCGCTCTTAGAACGACGCGGACTGGATATAGCGATCGGAAGCGACGTAAAATTTGGCACGCTACGTGCTCTTTTTATCCTCGATCGTTCGTGTTTTAATTCTGACAATTCATCCCTCGGCGGTTGCACCGAGAGTCGTGCTTCTGCCACGCGACTGCCTTCGGAAAAGATCATTTGATCGAACATCAAGAGGTGCAAGTAATGTATAACTTCCTCGCGACTAACCGCTTGCCCTTGATTAAACGCGCGCGCGATATTGTCAATATGGCGGAAACACATGTCGGATCTCGATCTCGTCGGCGCTTCGTGATTCCACCAAACGCTAATTATTCTCGGATCTCGCAGAACTCGCAGAACTGCGTCGTCCAGATGAGTAGGTCTACCATTGAGGAAATGACGGACAATCATGCTCAAAGTGTCTCCATACGGTATAACATCCAGATCGGAAGGCTGCGACGACTCTCTCTGACTGGGGTCGTCAACATATTCATCGGTAAGCTCGTGCTCAAGATCGAGTAGTTTCAGCTTATCCTGCGTATTGAATACGGGGCTTCGCTCAGCTGTCGTTGATGTATTCTCGTGCCTCGTATCGACATCGTTAAATCCTGTATCGTGATTGACATGGGAACGTTTATCGGACGATGTCGCAAGATTGTGTTCGACCTGCAGAAGTATCGCGCTCAATATCAATGGAACATTGATGTATTCGTTAGGTATGCCATTTAGTGTATCCTCGTAAATCTTACTGTCTATTGTCTCGTCTGTTTTATCAATTCCTTCCTCCAGTTTCATACTTTTAAGGTACTTTGCATGCTGTCGGCAAAGATCGTTCAAATGATACAAAGTGAGAAGTACTTTATCGTACATGTCTCGCTTTAGAGACTCTTTCTCGGTAGTGTTGATCATTTCTGGAAAGACTGATGGACGAACAGTGAGGATAGTTATATTGGAATACGTCGGATAAACCGATAAATTAGCAAATCGTTCGTGCGTAACCCTCCAAAATTCGAGCAGCTCGGTTTTATCGATACGAAAATCTTCAAAGGAATACGTTTTATCTCGGGTCGTTGTATCCTTTTCCTCTGTTTCGCGATACGCAACGAACTGTTCGCCAGAATGCTTAAACTCTAATATACAGGTCAAAGGAACTCCGACGCTTAACAATTCTGGCGGTAAATCGGGATTGCGAAACCCGCTAAGTACAATGCAGAGTTTCGTTCCGTCAAAAGGTACGTTATCCACATGTAAACATGTATTCACTTTGCCATTGAGCATGTATTCAGTCTCGTTGCTGTAGGCTCTTCGAAGCTTGGTAGTGCTTCGCGATGAAGAAGCTGAATAATGAAATTATTACCGTTATGCAAGCTGTGCCGAAGAGAGAACGCGCGAACGGAAAGAAATAAGTCAGTACATTTCGCTAATTGTGACTTATCAAACAGAAAAATCAATGAGACGTATTTACTACCACATACAACAGAGCTACATCATGTTAAGAATTTGTCTTTAAGTTCTTGAAATAAAAAAAAAACGACTGGCATATATCATTTACTTGAGCTGTCAGTATTCTGAATTGTCCGACATTCTTCGTCGATTTTGCGGTCTAGATCCGCCTGTACTTTAAGTCTCCCAACGTGCTCGATTTTGGCGCGATAGATCAGATACTTTATGAGCCGTGCAATCAGCCAGGTAGAGAGATGGCCATTGTTTTCGCGTAAGACCATATTCGCGTAATGACAGATACTCTCGACAGCAGGACATTTCTCTGGATCCTGTTTCGACAGCGCTCTCACCGTGTCTATCGTTTTTTGATAGCTAAGAAAATAAATACACGCCTGTTCGTCTTCTTCAACGGCTTCGTTGAAGAGAAAAATGTAGCGGCCATGCTCGACAATTGTCTCCACCATCATCGTCACTATACACCACCAGTGATCATCATTAATCGATATGGACTCTAACGCGCTCTGCCAATCATCTTTGTCATGTATTTTCTGGTTTTTATTAGTAATCGTAGATTTTCTAGATTTGTTTTTCATGGAGGTTATTTTATAATGTCTGAAAGCACCTAAGTATAATAATCACACGTGAACATATCAATAAATCATTGGATTAACTGTTAATTTTTATCGAAGCACGTGTCCATAGACGTATATACGTGTCGCATAAAAAATAAATTGTGTGAAAGTATTGTGTCACGCGGAACAATAAATTGTGTGAAAATTATTTATTTTAATATTATTACACATATTCAGTGTAAATAATTTTAATATTATTGCACTGAATATCTGTAAAAGAATATAAAAATTACATAGGTATTACTTAAACCAATTAATTCAAAAATATATAGTTGTGGAATTTATTTGGAAACAAAATTTATGCAAATATAAAACTGTGTATGCGAGAATCATCGGTTCATGTCCGACTAAATGTTGCAGAGAGAGTGATCGATTCTTTTTTTCTGCTAAGGGATAAAAGTAAATCGAGCATTTCGACCGGGGACACTGGTAATGGAAAACGTATTACCGGAGTCGTAAGTTTCGTCAGTAGGGACACAGGCACCAACATTATAACACGGATGTGCAGGCTGTACTTAACGACGAAACTCTGTGGAAACTGTAATTTTCGTGCGAGGGGACGAAAAAGTAGTCGATGCTGTGCACGGTACGGCCGTGGCGTGGAACGCGTGTAAAATACGAGCGTGGTAAAAAAAAATTAAACAAATGGGATGCCTAAACGTGCAAAGTTACGCGTGAAACTGTTCTCGCGATGTATACCTCGGGTTTTCGCGAGACAAATGTGGCGCAACGATATGTTCGTCAAAATCATTGGATGTTAGGGTATCGATAAATGCAAATATGCAAATGTATCGCACGCTATAAATTTTTCGTGTTGCAAAAATTGATGCTAGAAAAGATACTTTACGTAAATATTTGTTACTGCGTAATAAAATGTTTGCAGTGTAATAAAATACTTAATTATTTGTGTATATTTTAATTAAATTGATGTTCTGCTATAATTCCAATTCTCCGGTGGAAGCACCGCACCTATTAAATTTATTTGAAAACGCTCGATAATTTAATTAAAACGTATACAGCAACACACATATGGATGCGCTATCATTGAAATTTTATTGCAAAATAGAAGCGTGCGCAAGATTCTATTATTTTAATCGTGGAAAACTAGGTGAATATTATGGAAAGAGATAACTTAAAGATATACCATAAATGTGTTCATAATGGTGATCTCAATATCCGGAGGTCGAAAAATCTACCAGCGTGAATAACGATGAGATTAAGCTTTTCCCGTTTCCTTAAACTTTCTCTTCCTCTACGTTATTCAACATAGACATCCATTTTTATTTTCTTATCGTCTTACACAAGTTATGATATCAATCCCCACTAGCGTTATACATCGGGATTTTTAATAATCCCGTTATATCGAAGTGCAATTTGAATTTATGAGAAACGCGTTTCTGCATAGTGACTCATTTCTACGCACTTGGCTTCATTACTAGCCGTTCTGTTAAATTCATCACGTTTACAGGAAGGTTTGTCGGGGTTGGATGTGGAACGCATAGAATACAGGGAGCTTTAATTAAATTTGATAATGGAAAAGTTTATTGAGTCGCGGCGAAACTGGTAAGAGAGGGAGAGGGGAAAAGATACACTAATTGGCCGACAGTTTTGCGTCCAGCTAGCGTGCAGTGTCATAACAAAAAGCGCTACCATCCACCCTTTTATATCTCAAAATGGTGCGCGCACGTTCATCGCTTGGCAAGCGAGAGGTTTGATTTTAATTAAATCATAATGTAGTTTTGCTGGGTGCATAGCTCTGTACACGGCTGCGACTCCAAGGGCTCCAAACCCTCTCCGTCGCGCTCGCGTCTAAAGCGCGCTACGAAAGCACGTCGTTATCTCAGTTTAGTTCTGGCGTGCTGTTTTCGGAGAAGCGCTGAAACAACGAGGCGCATCGCGATAATGACCGAGGTACTCAGGGTACCATTCGCCACATCTAATTCTCTTAATAAACAAATCTTTATTACTCATCTGTACAATGAAAAAGATACAATTGTATTCCGTAGTCACGAAAGAAAAATAAATACTTTCTTCATTCATTAATGCGTGTTCGTTCGCCGGTGTAGTTATCTTATGTACATCTTATTATTTTGTTCCTTTTTGCAAAGAAATTTGTCCCATTTTCCTTAGACGAGAGGGGTTTACAATTAACTTCTGCAATAAAAAAATTCTATCTGCACAAATAAATTTTCTAGCTTTTAACAGATATGAAATTTATAGGCCGGTCATTCAACTCTCTCGTGTTTTTTTTTTTTACGAAAAATGAATGGTACACTGAAACCAGATCGGGTAACACACTAACGATTACGTGAATAAACATTTGCATACGACGGTAGCACAGATTATGTTTGCGTGAAAATATTTTCATTTCTCATAATGCGGTTGAATGCATAAATGTATTTTAAGGTAGTAAATATTAATTAGATTCAACTTCATGTAGAATACATGAGAGTAATATTTCACCATTTCGCTTACCATGCTTCTTATGGAGAAATGTATCTAACAACGTAGAAAATGTTCTACTAATTTCTGTATCTCTCATTATTTATACATCTCCATTGTCGAGAAACTAAAGTTAATTTGATTGAACATTATAATTAAAGAAATTTAAAGGAAGATAAAGATTTTCCAATGCCTGCAGAATCTGAATGGAAACTTATGAATAGAAACTTAAGACAATTTATGCTTATGCAATTCCATTTTGTCATGACGTCGTTGTTGTACGATAAAAAATTATACTGTTGGTCGCGCTCCACGAGAAATGTTTGCAAAGTCTTCTCCCTCGATTTCTACAAGGTTTACAGAGCAAATAACCGGAAAATACAGATGGAAAGGTATTACTTAACGTTCGAATAGTGAAATAATAAGTTACCATAAAATCAACCTATATATAACCGTTATTACATCGAGTAGATATCGCATTTTCAAGTATACAACTTAGTCCTTTCTCTGCAAAAACTTTATATATTTTCTTTTGTGCTTTTGCTTCAAGGCACGCACTCTCGCGGAAATAGTTTTGACAATTGAGATGCAAAGGGAGAGAGTACGAAATAGTTTCTTTGTAGGAGAAGTACCGAGGTAGCCAGCAAACTTCTATTTGAGTTACGAAGACTGAGAAGTATATATTAAACTACAAATAAGACTTTATTCTGTAACCAATTTAAAAATAATATACATAAAATAATACAAAAATTAATCAGAAACGAAAATTTTCAGATACAATACAGTTGATTTCAATATTATTGGATTGCTTACGTTATTGTTGCTTCGATCTCTCAATCAAGTTTAACCAAACAGTTACGGCACTGCTGTGATGCTTTTCAATTTTTTGAACAAATACGTCAGTTTTATTGCTAGTCGCAAAATTATCCGCCTATATAGCAATATTGTATCATTATGCTGTTGAAGATCTTTCTGACAAACAAATAGATTCAAGTAAAGAGAGAGACAGAGAAAGAAAATGAAGGATAGTACAAATTTAATATCACAATGCGGTTAAACGAAATAATTAAATAATGCAATTAATGTATGGAACACTGATGTGGCACGTAAATTAATATATTATTAAATGTTAATCTATTATAATAATCATCAATTTTAATATTACATCAATAATTAATTGTTTAGATTGTTGACTCTATTCGATGAATACAGATTAATAACACCTTTATCAGGCGAATTGAATTATTAACGAATACCGTTTAATACGTACGTAATATTCCACGTTCTCATTTAACTGTTTTACAGGATGTTCCATTTCGAATAATATAATATATGTATATTAGATAACTTGAAAATGTGGTAGATTTTTAGGAAAATGTTTTAAACAAAGATTCTTTAATTTTTATTTAATTCGTTATTTTACACATCAAATCGTTAAAATTTAATAAAGTTATCAGAAAGTGAATATTTTAAAAGATTTTTCATATTTTACATTACGATTTAACTCCAGGATTTAACTATATAAAAATGTAAAATTTAAATTTTTAAATAGGCTATAAATAATAAAAGTATATTCTTTTTGAAACCAAACTGTTTGAAACATTTTTTGAAACAACGTTATTATTTTTCGATTATTTGGATGTATTACTGACAATGGAACATCCTATATATCTCCCAGAGAACATCGATAGACCGCAACAGCCGTTCTGATTTCTGTTGCCGTTGTCAGAATTCCTATTCCGCGGTCACCATACGGTCAATCAGTGGCTTTGACTCACTTGCGAGCGTTCAAGAGTACAAACTGAACTTGTTTAAAGACAAAGATTTGCCTTGGTTAACGTACGTCAGTAAGTAAAGCAAAATATGTTCGGAATTCTCAGGTTGCTAGAAGCATGAACAATTACTAAAGCAAGTTACGTAAAGTAGCATTGCAATTAATTGTTAAATCTATTCTTTCTCTCTCTCTCTCTCTCTCTCTCTCTCTCTCTCTCTCTCTCTCTTTTTCTCTGCATTTCTCTTTTTCTCTTTCTTTCTTTAGAACTTACTAAAATTACAGATTTAATCGGCGAAATATTAATTATAATTATTTAAAGAGAGAGAGAGAGAGAGAGAGAGAGAGAAAAAGAGAGAGCATACAAATAATACTTTATTCATGTTCAAACTTACGTCTAGAAAATTGTATAAAATCTTTTTCTACAAATTAAAATGTTTTGTCAATAAATAGTAAATAAATAATTAGTTAAAGTTAACTGACATCTACGAATAATACTGTGGTCAATTATATTATCTAACAAAAAAAAGGTAAAAATAAAAACGATGCCATCAAATAGATACATAAAAAAGTTTACAATAATTATTTGTCTATGATAATGTTCTATAACATTAATTTAACGAGATCATTTCGAACGGTCAATTAACAGTTGTTCAGAGAATCGGTTTCGAGATAGTTATATGATCGGATGATCGTATCTATGTATGAATGAACGGGATTGGGTCAGTTTTCGGGCGGTATCAGAACT